TGTTAGAATGATGTTGGATTGAAGTTAAGTGGTTTTTAGCAGTAATGTTAAAATAGTGCAAAAATGGATTATTAACAGGTGATAATTTAAAGTTATAATATATTAAGACTAAAGATTAGGATAAAAACAAAGAGGGAAAGGATTTGCTAAACCAACTAATTGAACTGGATACAAAAAAGGGAGGTGTGAGGAGGTCCGGGGAACAGGCAAATGAAAGATAAGACATGGAAAGGTTGAATTGTTTTTAACTGTTTTTATTTTGTATTTTTTCTTTTTCTTTTTTCTTTTTGTAATATTTTGAAAACTTTAATAATTATTTTTTTAAAGCTTTTTTTAGTTTTGCCCAAAGTTGAGCTTTTGGGGGGCAAAAATGCAAAATAAAAATATGGCATTTTTGAGCTATTTTTATGGGAAATTGCCAAAAACGGCACTGCTGACACGGGTTGCCATACGTCCAGATTTTCCTGGACATTTCTACGATTTCCACCCAGACACTGCTGCCGAATGCAGTATTCCGTACCCTAACTTCATCCCATGCATGTTTGTTCAGAAGGAAAACCTGATGGTGTTCACTGGGAGTGCACAATTTGCTACATTAATTTAAAGCTTTTTCTTATCCTGATGTTCAGCAGAGAAGTCTCCAGAAGCAACTCCACAGGCATCAGTGATATGACAGCCTCTGCCCTCTGGTGTACAACCTAAAAGACAGGCACAAAAGGAAAGAGATACTGGAAGGGAGGAGGGGAAGAGCAAGCTCAAGGGACAAGAGTGATCCGTTCATATGTGGAAGCCATGAAGAGGCCCCAGATAGAGTTGCTTCTGAATAACCCCTTGGAGCTAAAGCAGAAAGCAAAGAATCTTCCTTCTCCAAGCTCTCTGAATTGTACTTTTGGTGTGGATGCAGTGGAGTGGGGGGTGGGAATGGCATTACAGTGGTACCTTGGTTTGCAACCGTTTTGGACAAACTGGAACGTGTCCAGAGGAGGGCAACCAAAATGGTCAAAGGCCTGGAAACGATGCCTTATGAGGAACAGCTAAGGGAGCTGGGCATGTTTAGCCTGGAGAAGAGGAGGTTAAGGGGTGATATGATAGCCATGTTCAAATATATAAAAGGATGTCATATAGAGGAGGGAGAAAGGTTGTTTTCTGCTGCTCCAGAGAAGCGGACACGGAGCAATGGATCCAAACTACAAGAAATAAGATTCCACCTAAACATTAGGAAGAACTTCCTGACAGTAAGAGCTGTTTGACAGTGGAATTTGCTGCCAAGGCGTGTGGTGGAGTCTCCTTCTTTGGAGGTCTTTAAGCAGAGGCTTGACAACCATATGTCAGGAGTGCTCTGATGGTGTTTCCTGCTTGGCAGGGGGTTGGACTTGATGGCCCTTGTGGTCTCTTCCGATTCTATGATTCTATGGATTACAGGCATGTCAAACCCTGAAGTGTGTGTCCCTTTTTTTTTTTTTTTGGATTACAACCCTTTATTTTTGGATTACAACCCATTTTTTTGGGAGGCCCCATTGGCGGCTTGTCTTACAACCTGTTTTGGTTTACAACCAGACCTCCGGAACGGATTACGGTTGTAAACCAAGGTATTACTGTACTTCTACCTTCCTGCTGTTCATGCCAGGAAAGAGCAGAGCACACCTCCCATGTTCTGCCACTTGCCCCAAGCGTTGCATCTGTGCGGGAGCTGAAGAGTTCACAAGTTCCAATGAGGTCTTGCCACCACCCATCCTAATTAATACCATAGAATGCCTGGCCCTACTTGGCTTGTAGGAGCTGCTTTTAAAAAGAGGGGGCTGGGGTGGGGGGTTACAATATCTCACCTCAGGCCAGTAGGGGGCAACAGACACCATCTGAACCAGGGAAATACAAAATGTGAGCATCCTTTCCCTTCTCTATCCTGTATGCACTTAAACAGTATTTTGTGTTTTAGGACGAGTGTGTGAAGGGACCAAGAAACAGCAAATGTATTTACATGCAACTTTTTGAAGTTGGGTGTTTTATTAATATAATAATATCAACAGTATAATATCTCATATAAAGAGATTATGATATTCAGAGACCCATGAATGCAGATGTCATTGCATTATGACCTGGGGGTGGGTATGAGCCCCATGTAATTCGGAGACACTACTTGCAAATATTCTGTGACCCAAATCAGTGAGTGAGTGAAACACAGAAAAATCTCAGAGCATCATGGCATTGCAAGGCCATAGGAGAGCCCTGTTTCCACCATACCTACTCTTATAATGTTGTTACTCCACAACTGTAATTATTAATGAAGGTAGTGTCTCACAATAAACAATAAACACCAGACACCAGAGAGTTTTGTCCCAAAGGGCAGCTACAAAATACAAGTTTATAATGCTCAAGTCACTAAGACTCCATTTGCATTATACCTTTAAAGCAGTGTCATACCACATTAAGCAAGCACATCTTCCACCATAAAATCCTGGAAAATGTAGCTTGGTTAAGCGTGTTGAGCACTGTTAGAATCAAAAAATGTAGGGTTGGACGGGACCCCAAGGGCCATTTACTCCAACTTGCTGCAATGCAGGAATCTCAGTTAAAACATCCGTGACAGGTGGCCACTTGTTTTTGAGAGACCCATGCTAGGTCTTAGTAATCACAGCATCCTTTTCTAAGTGCTCACAGACTCTGTTTAATTATCTGTTGCAAGACCTTTCCTGGTATTGATATCAAGCTCACTGGTAAGTAGTTGCCTGGGTCTTCTTTCTTCCCCATATGCAGGAACCTCACCTGTTTTCCAAGACTTCTCAGAGATTATAGGCAGAGGCTCTGAGATTATACCCACAAGCTCCTTTAGTATCATTGGATGCAGCTCATCAGGCCCTGGAGATTTTAATTCATTTAAAGTTAGGAAACCTTTGGTCCCCTCACAGAGCTACAATTCTCAGAGTGGTTTAATAGCAAGCTCTGGGAATTCCCCGTGAGGGCCTAGAAGTCCCCTAACAATGCTCAGCACCTTTCTCTGAAGAAGGCATCAAGGACAAATTTCAGATTGTCCATCTATTAATAGTCCAGTAGAGAATGAGAAAAGATTGAAAGTTGCAAGGTGAAACGTTATAATACTGGTTTCACAAGGTGTTGTACTTAGCTTTTATGGGGGAAAATGACACACAAATTAAGAGTTCTTCATGGTGTTACAAAAACTGACAAACGTATTTCAGCTTTGAATACCTATATTACACATGCCAACAAATATATGAAAAAAAACAAACCCTCATTATTCTATTTGTTTCTAGTATATTGCAGAGATAATTTGCTTTCACATCTCAAGTCCCCTCCTCTATGTGGTCTCATTTATTTTGGTTTGCTGTTGGTCTTTTTCACCTAGTTCTGAGCCACTTGGGTTGGGGGGGGGTATGTTTGTTCTCTCGGGACGCGGGTTGCGCTGTGGTGTAAACCACTGAGCCTTGGGCTTGCCAATCGATCGGAAGGTCATGGTTCAAATCCCGCAATGGAGTGAGCTCCCTTTGTTCGGTCCCAGCTCCTGCCAACCTAGCAGTTTGAAAGCATGCCAAAAAAGTGCAAGTAGGTACTGCTCCGGCAGGAAGCTAAATGGTGTTTCCATGCACTGCTGTGGTTTGCCAGAAGCGGCTTAGTCATGCTGGCCACATGACCCAGAAAAACTGTCTGTGGACAAACATTGGCTCCCTCGACCAGTAAAGCGAGATGAGCGCCGCAACCCCAGAGTCATTCACAACTGGACTTAACTGTCAGGGGTCCTTTACCTTTACCTTTTTATGTTTGTTCTCACCAGTTTTTTGTTTTTGTTCTCACCAGTTTTAAAGTGAGTTATAACTTAATGTATTCTTGCTATTGTAAAATGAATAAATGCTGTACTTGATCTTGACAACAATGAAATATTATACAGCAAACAAACAAACCCGTCTCAGCACCCATGATTCCTTGGGGGAAGCCATGACTGTTTAAAGTGGTATGATACCGCTTTAAATGTAAGTTTACAAGGGAGAGGTTCCCTTTCATCTCTGTATCACAGCCAATCCCACACCACATGATTTACTGTTTCCTCCACCCCACAAGGACAAATCCATAGGACATTTAAATGCTTCCATACTTCCACCCTGGGAAGTTAACCTATCACCTGAACTTTTATCCGCTGGGCTTAAGGCAGGCTATCTCCTCCCATCCCACCAGTTACATTTCATAAGGACAGTCATGCTGGCCTTTTCAGTTGTTCTTTGTATAACTTATTTCTGTCCCAGTCTTGGGGCGCTGGTGTCTCCCGATCCTGAGCTTCTGTCTCAAGGAAGGACCCGCCTGCAACAGGCCCGTGAACTGGCTCGACACCCCCGCTATGGCAGTTGCTGGATGGGAGCCTTAGGGCAGCTAGACGCTGGGTGCAGGGAGCTGGATGAGGAGCAGCAAAGCCGCATTGCAATCAAATTTGCCCATTGCCACCTCCAGCGGTGAGTCCAGATACCTGGGTCTTGGGGGATGGGCTGGTGACAGCCAGTGTAATAGAGTGATCACTAGAGTGTTGTCCTAGGACAGGGTTTCCCAGCTGTTTTGGACAACAACTCCCTTCATCCCTAGCTAGCAGGACCAGTGGTCAGGGATGACTGGAATTGTCCGAAAACAACTGGAAATGCCAGTTTTGGAAACCCCGTCCTAGAACTTGAGGTATCTGGAAGCAGATCCTCACCCTGCCACTAGGTGAAATTTGGCTAACCAAAGTCTCTCAGCTTAACCTACTTCAACAAACTCACCCAGACCAACCTGTTGTAGCCTGGAACTGCACAATGCGCAGCTGATTTGTGTACTGAATGGGGCACAGCTGTGTGCAGCCTGAGGAAGCCCCATCGACATTGGTGTCTGTCCATCAACCCTAGTAGGACAGTCTAGGGCGATGTCTGCAGGCTCCACAAACCCTCTGTGGTGTGGGATTTGAGGGGTGATCTGTGAGTTTGTTTGGGCCCTGAGTGAGAGCAGGGTGGAGCTCGGAATTCGAAGTGGTGTTGGGTGGGGAAGGGTTTGAGCCTTTACAGCAGTATTTTATTTTTAGTAATTTGTATTAATGGCTTTTATTAGAGGTTTTTTTGTAACATTTGTAGTTCTTAACATTTTCAGTAGCTCATCGGAGGTGACAGTGGAAGAGAGACATTGCTTGAACCTAAAGCAGGGGTTGGCAAGGTTTATCTTGCCTGGGCCGGATCGGTCCCGCGGAGATCCCTCCGTGGGCCGGATCACACTTGCGCCCGTGATTTACGGTGTCTGCGCGTGCACAGACATGATTTCTGGCACCGCGGAAGCAAGTCCCTGTGCCGCGCTGCGCCGGTTTAGCGCAGCTCATGAGCAGGCAGCTCAGTTCGGTGGCAGCTCGGGGGCCGGTCAAATGACCTCCGCGGGCCACTTCCGGCCCATGGGCCTTAGGTTGCTGACCCCTGACCTAAATCTTCATGGAGGAGGAGCTTTTCCCTTTCCTTTTACTCACACCCACAATATACATTTAAAGTGTCAGGACTTTGACAGTCCTGACTACCCTGAAAGAATCTGGAGAGGTGTAGTCCCGTCCCCCCCCAGAGCTACAGTTCCCAGCACCCTTACGAAACTACTGTTCCTTGTGGGATTCTTTGTAGGAATCCATGTGCTTTCAATGTATGGTGTGGATCTTGCCTTTGTTTGTCTGGGATGTCAAGTCAACATAATTCAAGGCTGGCTGTACTGGTTCTCATTGTTTCATCTGACCGGTAGCTGCTTGCTTCAGCTTATTCTGTGTCTTCTCCTGGGCAGGTCTGGGAGGAAGTTTCCCCCCTGTGAGCCTAGCAGCTCCATCCGTGGTTGCACACAGGACATGGACCCAGTGGCCTTTGGGGTGTACACAGAGTTCTTCACCCATGCTCAAAGCATCTGTTATTTCCTGCACAATGAGGCCTGGCAACAACGAGCCCAAGATACCATGCACAGGTAAGGGAAATGGGGCTCTTTCTTCCTCTAGAGAGCAACTAGCCTGGAAGGGTAATTCTAGCTCATGCTTTGCATGCAGAAGTTCCCAGTTTCAATCTCCAGGGAAGGCTGGGAATATCCCATACAGTGGTACCTTGGGTTAAGAACTTAATTCGTTCTGGAGGTCTGTTCTTAACCTGAAACTATTCTTAACCTGAGGTACCACTTTAGCTAATGGGGCCTCCTGCTGCCGCTGCCACACAATTTCTATTCTCATCCTGGAGCAAAGTTCTTAACCCAAGGTACTATTTCTGGGTTGGCGGAGTCTGTAACCTAAAGCGTCTGTAACCTGAAGCGTCTGTAACCTGAGGTACCACTGTACAGTCAGACCTCGGTTGTTGAACATAATCCATTCCGGAAGCCCATTCGGCTTCCAAAATGTTCAACCACCAAGGCGCGGCTTCCACTTGGTTGCAGGAACTTCCTGCACTCCAGCAGAAGCCACATTGGACGTTCGGCTTCTGAAAAATGTTTGAAACCTAGAGCATTTACTTCTGGGTTTTTGGCATTCGGGAGTCAAAACGTTCCAAAATGGAGGCTTTTGGGATCCAAAGTTTGACTGTACCTGAAATCCTGAAGAGGCACTGCTAGTCACTGTAGGCAATACTAAGTTAGATGGCCCAATGGTCTGACTCTGTACAGTGGTACCTCTGGTTACGAACTTAATTTGTTCCGGAGGTCCATTCTTAACCTGAAATCGTTCTTAACCTCTTAACCTGAGGTACCACTTTAGCTAATGGGGCCTCCCACTGCCGCCACGCCACCGCCACGCGATTTCTTTTCTTATCCTGAGGCAAAGTTCTTAGCCTGAGGTACTACTTCCAGGTTAGCAGAGTCTGTAACCCGAAGTTTTTGTAACCTGAGGTACCACTGTATAAGGCTAGTTCCTATGAAACAGCATGGGAGGGCAGGGAGAATTAAGGCCTGGTGAGAGCCCTATGGAACCACTAAGCATGTTAGTGGGGTTTCCCTTGACTGCTTCTAGGCACTCGTATGTGGAGGTCCACATAGCATAATTTGCATGCAGTCCTGTGTTTCCTGGTGCTGCTTTGATCTTCCAGTGGTGGTTGATGCCCTTTGGGCCTAGGGAAGCACAAGAAGAGCAACTAATAATAGGTTGAGTTCAGTAGGTGGAACCAGAGATCAGAGCTGGCAGAGCCAACTAACTGGTTTTCTCACTATCCTCCTCCCTTAGAAAGATGCTAATCCTATGCATGCTTATATCTCTGATCTCAGTGCGCTAAGCAGACCTACACAGGATTTCTCTCTCTCTCTCTCTCTCTCTCTCTTTCTCTATCTCTCTCTGAATCAATATCGTTCACAGTGATGCAGTGCACTTCCTGAGTGTGACTATCTTTAAGATGGATTCAATCACATCTCAGCAAACTCAGATTGCACAACTATACAGTAGCTGATTGGGAGGTATTGCACTGCAAACTCACCTCCCCAAAAGATTGGGCTTTTGGTGAGATAGAAAGGGGTGGGAAAGTGCACAGCGAAGCATGGGATAAGACTTGCTTTGATGTCTTGTCATTTAACCTCCTGCAAACAAATCAGGATGAAAGCTCAATAGCAGCTCCTTTGGAAGCATCCCCAGGCATCAAGCAAGAAGGTAGAAAGGAAGAGTGAGTTGTTACAGTGGGAGGAAACTGGTGAAAAGAGAGTGGGTCAAGTGGGGTTTTTTTTGGGGGGGGACTTTTCCAGATGCCCATAGCAAAAAAAAATAAAAATCTCCCCCTACCCCCTTCCTTTTTAAAACCACACTGCAGTCACAACAGGTAAAGATGCCCATTTGTATTCATCCAATCCGCACCAGCACTCGTGCAAGAGGACAGTGTGTAGGGAGTTTCCTGCTCTTTCTGCTTGCTTCTGTGCTGGTTTCGTGGGTCAACGGAGAGGCGAGGTCCGAGTCCAGTCCGAGGTTGAAGGAGCAATATGGACGCAGTCTGTAAAAGCTGAAGCTGGGTGCAGGGCAGGGAGTCCGGTGAGGACAGGAAAGCAGGACAGGGTTCAGGCAGAAACTGGCAACCTAAAAAGTTGCTCCTGCAACTTGGGACTGGGCCTGGCCGGCTTTTATCTGCCCCGAGGCATAGGGCGGCCCCGGTCCACAGGTGACTCGCCCCTCCTGGCCTGGAGGCGAGCACTCCTCCTGCAGGAACTTAGTTCCCTCCGCCTCTCTGCCCTGAGCCTCTGCAGCTCAGGAGAGGCTGGAGGGTTACCAGACCCAGAGGCAACCTCATCTTCCCCTGACGAGGCTGAGAGTGGAGCACCTGCAGGCAATGGGTCCTCCATCACCTCAGGAGCCATAGCAGACTCAGCTGGTGCCTACACCTGAGGATCCAGCACAGCTGAGGACCCTTCAGGCTCATGCCGTTCTGAAGGCGGGGAATCCTGTGCAGGCTGGGATTCCTCGGGTTCAGCATCTGAATCCGAATCCCAGGCCATCACAGCTTCTTTCATTGCTCAGCAGCAGAGAGGAGGAGAGCCAGGAGAAGCTTCAGGGTTGGGGGCCCTAACTGGAGCATTGGCAGCTGGCTGACCCTACCACTATCCCTGGACTGACAACCAGGATAGGAGGGGAAGGAGGTTGGGTGGAGGTCTTTGGTATGTCTAATTTTGTTCTCTTCCCAACCCTTTGTTAGGGTAAAGAAGTTGCCAATTCTCAGTATGAATGAAGTGCTCTTTCCTGTCTACTCCCTCCTCAAAGACAGCTCCTTGACTAGCAGCTGGGCTGGACAGCAGGCAAGCTAAGCGTTGGGTTTCCATTTGAGCCACTGGAACCGGCAGCACCAAAAAGTAGGGCACTTGTTCTACATGGGGAGAGCTACCCCAGAGTGACACTCTGAATTCCAGCATTTCCCAGAGCAGACTAGCTTCAGTGTGACAGGATAGTCTAATTTGGGAAGCGTGGACCATCAGATCCGCTTAACATCAACATTTGTCTGGTTGACACTTGGTGGAAATCTAGAACAAGCGACTTGGAGCAGGGAGCGGAAGAGCAAAGCTGTGTGCTGTATTTTGACTTTTCCCCTAGGGAGTACGGTAATTGCAGCTCACCACACTAAGGAAGCACAAGGCAGGGCTGAGGAGCCTGTGGCCCTCCATACCCTCTTGGATGCCAACTCCCACCACCCCCAGCCAGCAGAACCCATGGTCAGTGAAGGATGGGAGTTGCAGTCCAGCAACCTCTGGGGGGCCACAGGTTCCCCACCACTGGGATAATGGATGCTGCCTGCATATGACGGTTCCTGGTTCCTTAAGTTGCCCAAAATACAGTGGTTGTGGCATCAAAGCCCTCTGGGCTTGCCCAAAATGACTCAAGTATATTTTTGGGTTTTTATAACGTGAGGGGTGGGGAGGTGTGATGGACTTGGAACCTGTATAGCTTTCCGACACAGTAGGGTACAGGCACTATAGGGAACCTATTGTGTGGAATCTGGGAGTGAAAACTGGAGTCTGTGGGCCTTAACCCTCCATTGTAATCTAAAAATAAAGTATCTAGCCCTTGATGGTACCAAGAAGGGCTGGCAGGTTAGAAGTTGTAACTTCCAGGTGGCCTTGAACCCTTTTAATCTCCTTTCTGAAATTAATGCTCTGTTCCTATGCATGCTTAACTAGACATTAAGTCGTACTGAGTTCAGTGGGACTTATTCCCAAGTCAGAGCGCATAGAGTTGCAGCCAGATTCCTTCAAGGGATGAAATGACTTCACCCAAGGAGGCTGCCCGCGGAGCAGAATATCTGGGCTTCCGCACCTTCCTGGCGCAGTGGATATGCTGTGTGGTTAAGATGTTCCTGGTCATAATGAATTGGTTCCCGCCTTCTCTGCCCGTTCCAGACTGACTTCCTCTTCAGAGACTGTGGCCCGCCAGCTGGAATCCACCCATCAGCTTGCTGGAGAGATCGCCCAGGCACAGGATGCCACCTTGCGCTCTCAGGAGCAGATCCTGCAAGATGGGGAGCTGCTACATCAGATGCTGCGTGACTCCTCCCAAGGTAGGCTGGGAGTTGGGTGGTTGGGTAGGGATTATGATCTCAGAAACAAACAAAGCTGCATTATAAAATGAAAAGTTGTACAACAATGTGCCATGGCCCTGAAGATACTGCTGAACTACAGCTCACATCATCCCTGACTGTTGGCCATGCTGGATGAGGGTGATGGGAGTTGGAGTCCAGCAGCATGGGGAGGGGCTTCCAGAGTCCTATGCTAGATTATTTGCGTTCTCATCCTTCTCCTGGGCCATGTCCAGAAAGTGGTGGTGGGGGATGAGTGTTCAGGCCCCTGGGCTCTCACTTATGGGGTGCTTCAGGGTTCCATCCTCTCCCCCATGCTTTTTAACATCTACATGAAGCCTCTGGGAGAGATCATCAGGGGGTTTGGGCTGGGTGTTCATCAATATGCAGATGATACCCAGCTCTACCTCTCTTTTAAATCAGAACCAGTGAGGGAGTGAAGGTCCTGTGTGAGTGTCTAGAGGCAGTTGGAGGATGGATGGTGGCTAACAGATTGAGGTTGAATCCTGACAAGACAGAAGTACTGTTCTTGGGGGACAGGGGGTGGGCAGGTGTGGAGGACTCCCTGGTCCTGAATGGGGTAACTGTGCCCCTGAAGGACCAGGAGTGCAGCCTGGGAGTCATTTTGGACTCACAGCTGTCCATGGAGGAGCAGGTCAATTCTGTGTCCAGGGCAACTGTTTACCAGCTTCACCTAGTACGCAGGCTGAGACCCTATCTGCCCATGGACTGTCTCGCCAGAGTGGTGCATGCTCTAGTTATCTTCCGCTTGGACTATTGCAACGTGCTCTACATGGGGCTACCTTTGAAGGTGCTCGGAAACTGCAATTAATCCAGAATGTGGCAGCTAGACTTGTGACTGGGAGTGGCCGCTGAGACCATGTAACACCGGTCCTGAGTACCATATAACATCGGCTCCCAGTACGTTTCGAGCACAATTCAAAGTGTTGGTGCTGACCTTTAAAGCCTTAAATGGCCTCGGTCCTGTATACCTGAAGGAGCGTCTCCACTCCCATCGTCCAGCCCGGACACTAAGGTCCAGCATAGAGGGTCTTCTGGCGATTCCTTCACTGCGAGAAATGAGGTTACAGGGAACCAGTCGGAGGGCCTTCTCGGTGGTGGCGCACGCCCTGTGGAACACCTTCCCATCAGATGTCAAGGAAATAAGCAACTATCTTAACTTTTAAAAGACATCTGAAGGCAGCCCTGTTTAGGGAAGTTTTTAATGTTTAATGCTGCATTGTGTTTTTAATATTCGGTTGGGAGCCGCCCTGAGTTATACCCCAGATGGGCAGGGTATAAATATATTATTATTATTATTATTATTATTATTATTATTATTATTATTATTGCATTACACAGACATCCCTGCCCTAGTACCCCCTTTTCCTGAAACAGAACCCATTCCCCAGTGCTGCACTAGTATTAAAAACAAAACCCTCCTTTCAAATATGCAGATACTGGAGGAATTAGCTCAGGGGTTGGGAACCTTTCTCCCCTCATGCTAACCTTTGTGGGGCCACATACCAGGGGTGGATGAGGCCAGAATCAAAAGTGGGCAAAGCAAAGGATGCAGGTCTTACCTTTGTACAGTAATGTGTACTGCAGCCATAACTGAGAAAATCCATTTGGAGGGTGCCAAATTTTGGCCTCACACAGGGCATTATACAGTGGTACCTCGGGTTAAGTACTTAATTTGTTCTGGAGGTCCATACTTAACCTGAAACTGTTCTTAACCTGAAGCACCACTTTAGCTATTGGGGCCTCCCGCTGCCGCCATGCCACTGCTGCACGATTTCTGTTCTCACCCTGAAGCAAATATCCTGAAGCTAAATATGTTAAGCTAACTTAATTGGAAAAACTTGCAAATACCAGATAGGCTTAGGATTTAAATATGTAATGTTAGAGAATAATATGTTTAAAGATAAAATGGAAAGAAAGAAAGATGTTAAGTGATTAAATTAATTTTATGAAAAAATTGGTTTTGGAAAATTGTTACAATGATATACACTGAAACTCAGCCATGGGGATTCGAGGAAGTCACTCAGCAATGTTATTAAGATTGGATTAAGTACAGTTAAGATATATGTTTGTTTGTTTGTTTGTCTACATTTTGTTGGAAAATTCATAATTTTTTTTTGGAAAAGAACAAAGTTCTTAACCCGAGGTACTATTTCTGGGTTAGCAGAGTCTGTAACCTGAAGCGTCTGTAACCCAAGGTACCACTGTATTACGAAAGATTACCAAATATCACCTGACAACACACTGCCTCTGCCTCTGGTAGTACTGTAAAATGTGAGAGAGTTTCTTTTCAGAGTTGCAGCAAGCAGGAGAAAGAAGCGATACTTTAAAATAAATATATATCTGCATGCCCTATCATCTGTGTGGGACAAAACATATGGCTTACAGAGGGAAGATAATAAATGGAACAAATGGAAATGGGATGCTTATGTTCTGTTTCCACCTAGTTTCTGGTTTTAGCTGGGAGAGGAATGTGGATGGCACCTTGCTGGCTTGCCTCTCTCCTCTGCAGGGGTGCGCCAGGCCTTCCAAGAACTGCAGGATTCGGCCTTTGAGCAGCGAGTAGCCTTTGCTGAGATCTTCAACCGGGTTACATTTCTGCACCGCTTTGTCGTTGGGGAGTCCAGCGCTCTCTACTCAATCTTCTTCCATCTCCTAAGTGGGGCTGCCAGCCTGGTGCTGACCTCTAGCCAACGGACTGCAGGAGCACGGTAAGGAAATGGATGTGGATGGAAGATGCAAAAGATCCCCCTGGAAGAGAGACACATTCCAGCCTGATCAAAACATGTAGGCTGCCTTGAGAGATGGGATGGGAGGATTTCCAGCAGGGCTGCCAGGTACCTCATTTTTCAAACAGTCCTCTTATTCCAGGCATTGGCCACCTTATTGTGCACATCTGAGAAGCTGCCATTGGCAAGATGTCCCATTAAAACACACATATTCTTCTCAGTGCTATTTTTCTAGAAAAAGAGGTGCCAGAACTCAGCATGTTCTCTCAGAATGACAATGGTGCCCACCTGAGAGGTGCCGGAACTGAGTTTGGGTGATTTCCGCCTGAAAAAAAGGCCCTGATTCTTCTGTTCTTCCAGCAATTAGGTGTAAGAAAGGTGTTTTCACTTTTTCAAGCCCAATATTTTTAGCAGGGGGAGGAGAGTTTATCCTCCCCCAGGAATATCACTCCTCTCCCCAATGCCCCTCCCAATTAACTTTGAAAAAAGCTTTTGATGCCACTGCAAGGCTTCTGGCGAGCCTACTTGCTGCAAGCCAGGTGGGTGTGTTTGGTGGGTGGGGCCACAGCCAGGGAGGGGAGGGTGAACCTCTTTCCAGCTGTGACCAACAAGAGTTGGCTTTTTTCAAGACTAATTGCAGTGGAGGAAGGAGCAGGATGAACCCACGGGTGCTGGGTTGGCGACCCCTTATTCTACTTGAAGGTCCACTTTAAAGATCAAGAACCTTAAGAATGGAGAGCAGGAGGGGGCCTTGAAGTCGCCAATAAACAGTTAGCAATTGGGTAGCAGACTGAGAAGGCACACAGGTCAGTGTTGCCCACTATGGTGAGATGTCCTCCTTTGGTTTGTGATGCATTTTTGGTCGCCAGCTTAGATTCAAGACCCAGTCGAGGAGGGATGGGGAGCCTGTGGCCCTGCATATGTTGTTAGACTAAGGATCACATCATCCCCAACTTGCATGGGTGATGGTCATGGATGATGGAAGCTGGAAGCTGGAGTCTGGCGTCATCTGGAGAGCCACAGGTTCAGGAACGCTGGCCTGACTGTGCAGAACGCAGATTTCTGTTTTCCTGAAATTTCTTGCCTGGCCCACAGTGGTTCAGCAGTTAAGTAGCTCTAGCTCTTAGCAAAAGCCCATGATTCTAAACACATTCTTGCAAGACCAACAAATTATGCATAGATAAACACTGCAAGATTCTGTTTCTAAGATTTAGGTTTTTAGACTTTTGTGTGGGTGGCAGCGGGTGAGGGGGAAAGACAGCATGTACCAGTGTACTTTGCACACCTAAACTGTCCATTGTCCCTAGCATAGGAGCCAACTCTCAGGGGCTGAGGTCCCTTCGTCCTCCCCAAGAAATTATTTTATTGGGCTGCCCCCGCAAGTTGATGGGCATTGCCATTCAAATGGTGTGCATGTCCAATGTCTTGTGATCAGTTATGTGCGGTGGGGCTTACCTGCTCCAGCCCCCCATAGTTTATTCAGGTTGGTACCCCTGGTCCCATAAGCCTGGTTTCCCATTTCCAAACTTATTTCCCCACAATAAGCGCTAGAAACAAGCTGTCTTTAAAAAGAAAGCTAAGGCTCTCAGAAGGCAAAGATTGGGCCCTGGGTACCAGATAGCAGTCCCCGCTTGGGCACAAGACAGGGACCTGGTGAAGCTTAGGGTTTCATTGGGGGGAAACCGCTTAATTAGAGGAAAGGGCAAATCACGTTTTCTTGGGATTGCCATTTGACTTAGAGCTAAAGAGTGGGTTTTCTCTTGGAAAAGAAAACCCACTTGGCCCTGTGCTTCTTAGGAATGAGATGAGCAGAAGCGTGGGCAAGCCCTTAAAATGGCCACCTTTTTTTTTTAAATAACTTTATTGAATAATACAATCAAATTTCCAAACACATCTGCAGAAACACAATTATTTACATACTTAGCATACGAAAACCACAAAAAAGATAAGAAGAAAGAAGAAACAAACAAACAAAAAGAAAGAAAAAGAAAAGAAAAAAGAAAGCTACTTTCCATAAACAACAATACCAAATTTATTCTTACACACATTGTAAAATGCAAATCTTAATTAAAATATTTTAAAAAGACTTCCACCGCCGAAACCACACATCTTTTGTTATTTAGTTCACCTTTACCTCTGTTCTTCACTTCCATCCTTTAAGATCCCTTAAGATCTTCCATAATCCATTAAACTCTTTACATTCTTTATGATCCGCACAAGGTTAGTTTAAACACAACCAAATTTTCGTAGTTGAGCCCTGTTTATGTAAGTATTCATTTAAACAATCCCACTGTTTCTGTACCCTGTTTTTCGGTTTTCGCCCTAAGTCCGTCAGTTTAGCTAACTCCGGGTACTCACATAGTTTACTTAGCCATTCTCTTTTTGTTGGTACATTATTTCCTTTCCAGTAGCTGGCTATCAGTATTCTCGCTGCTGTCCTAAAGCACTTCCTTCTCTTAATGCCCCTCCCTTCTGTCTCCAGGTTTCCTCTGCTGACATTGGTGGGAGCAAACATTTACCTAGAGCGTGTCATCTGCAGCCTTCTGATGGATGAAGCGGATGGGGGCCAGGACTTGACGGTATGGCCTCTTCCTGCACTAATGGAATCCGAGTTGGAGTGTGGGGCAGGGGAGGGAGCCGGGCAAGGTGCATCTCCCCAAACAAGCTGCCCCTGGAGTGACGATTTGATGCTGATTTCTTCTGAGGCCCCGTCTCGTCCTTCAAGCGTAGGTGGCTTGATGGGAGCCTCGGCCCCCCCTCTTTCCCCACGGCACTGTGGTGTCACTCTCACACTTGTCACGGGAAGGCGTCCACACTGGAGGTGGACAGGGAGGGGAAATCTCTCTCTGCCACCTTCCTGGCTTGTCAAGCTTTGCCAGGTAGGGCTTCACAGGCATTTTCAAGCATCTATTTCAATGCCGTAAGATCTAGAAACTGGCTTTTCATTTCATTTTTATTTTTAAATAAAAACTATCCCTCCCTCCCTGACCCCTGCTGCACGTGACACATTTGCCAAACGGAGCGGGAGATAAACAACCATGGTATTTATTTTATATTTGTTTATTGCATTTATGTCCCACCTTCTTCCTCCAAGGATCTCAAGGTGGTTTACATGGTTCTCCCCACTCCTTGTTCATTCCCCGTAACAACCCTGTGAGATAGGCTAGGCGAAGAGGCAGTGAATAGCCCCCAAAGTCACCAAGCAAGCTGCTTGGCTGAGTGAGGATTTGAACCCTGATCTCCCATCGCGCTCCCCACTGCACCAATGACCTTAAAGACTGGAGTACTGACCCAACAGAGAAGAAGAAGAAGAGTTTGGATTTGATATCCCGCTTTATCACTACCTGAAGGAGTCTCAAAGCGGCTAACAATCTCCTTTCCCTTCCTCCCCCACAACAAACACTCTGTGAGGTGAGTGGGGCTGAGAGACTTCAGAGAAGGGTGACTAGCCCAAGGTCACCCAGCAGCTGCATGTGGAGGAGCAGAGACACGAACCTGGTTCACCAGATTACGAGTCTACCACTCTTAACCATCACACCACACTGGCTCTAGAGCTTTAGTGCATGCAGCGTTTCAGGCCAACAATTATTACACTGGCACTACCAATGTTCCTGAAAACTGGCAGGTTTGTGAACACCAGGTGCTGAGCAGAAACTTTTTCCAGGGCATCTGGATAGTACTATCCATCCGCAATGCTTACAAAAGGAATGGGGAACATGGGGCTACCTAGATGTTTTTAGATGCCCAGCCCTCCTCATCCCCAGCCAGTGGGGCGATGGGAGTTCTAATCCAGCAATATCTGGGACAACTGAAGTTTGTCCATCCTTGTCTTATGGGGACTGAAAAGCCAGTCCCCAGGCACACCACACATTTAAATTCCAAAGAATCCAAGAATTATCTCTTGCAGAACTACAGTTCCCAGCACACTTAAACAGCAGTTCCCAGGATTCAGGGTGTGCATGTGTGGTTTCTTATGTAGGGTGGGTGGACAAAGACATGTTTGTTGTTAGCCCCACCTCCGAATCTGGACTGGCTGTGTCCCCTTGACTCGGTCCGGGTGCTAATATATTTCTACCAAATGCTGGCAGTCACACTGAATTGCACCCCTCCTGCCTCTCACCCTGTTCTTTCAGGTTGCTGCTATTGGATTTTAAACCATTATAGTTAGAACAAAACAAAAATAACCAAGAGGGATGGAGGAGGAGGAGGAGGAGGAGGAAGAGGGAGTTGGGAGGACAGATTGCAACTCTGTTGGTCCCTCTACTGCAAGGCTGCAGTCCAACAACAAGACTTTGCCCCCAGCCAAATCTACTTGCAGGCTGGAAACTGCGCTGTTATCTCTATGAGTAATAATAGTCCTGAGATTAATATGCTCGCTGATCATGTGAGGAGGAAGCGAGGTGAGGAGGAAGGGCCTGAGGTTCCCCACACACTAATTGTTGTTTGCATTCCTGAAAGATGCCCGAGACACATGAATCACCAACTCTGTGGTAAAACCTGTATAATAAAGCTGCCGTTCAATTAACTCCAACCCAGTTCATATCTTTCTTTTTCTCAACAATCCGACAACACTACCAGCCAGTCTTTTAAGAAACCTCTTAAAGTTTTGGGTTGGTTTTTTTTAAGAACTTCTCTGGTGATGATAAGTGTTTTGTTTAGCATACAGTGGTACCTCAGGTTACATACGTTTCAGGTTACATACGCTTCAGGTTACAGACTCCACTAACCCAGAAATAGTGCTTCAGGTTAAGAACTTTGCTTCAGGATGGGAACAGAAATCGGGCTCTGGCAGTGTGGCAGCAGCAGGAAGGCCCCATGAGCTAAAGTGGTGCTTCAGGTTAAGAACAGTTTCAGGTTAAGTACGGACCTCTGGAACGAATTAAGTACTTAATCTGAGGTACCACTGTATCCTTAAATCCATCCCACCATATCCGGTTTTCCTGAAGGTGGAAGCTAGACGTGACCACAGTCGACCATCCCTACCCCTGCCCTGCCTGTGCTTGTATTCCAAGGGCTGGGCTGCTGTAGATTCCTAGGCCCTTGCCGTCGGTTTGCTGCCACTGCCAACAAAATCTGCATTAAATGGGGCTATAGAGGTGTGGCTGCATGTTGCAGTTTAAATAAGGAGGGGAAATTCTTGAAGCTGTATATCTGGCTAGATCAGTGGAAGGCAGCCTGTGATGATGGTGAGATGAGCAAGTGCAGCAGAGGACAGGGCCAAGGGCTGCGGATGTTCTGGGTGTGTGCTGCTTTTTGGTATTCTTTTTTTAAAAAAACAAAATCTAAATTCAGCACCGAGGTGACCCACATTTTCCACCAAGAAAAACTGGATTTTGCAACCTGTGTAAATTATACAGATTAAGCAGCCTTTAAATAACCATATTTTTTGTTAAGTGCTACCTTGCTAAGTAGGATCAAGGCTAGATTGGCAGGCAATATGCTTTTGGGAACTCACAAATGTAGGTTCCATTTTGCTTGGGGCTGGGGAACCTGTCACCCTTCGGATGCTCTTGAACTAAAACACCCATAATTCCTCACTATTGACTGCGCCAGCTGGGGCTGATGGGAGTTGGGGTCCCAACATCACATGAGGGCCACAAGTTAGCCACCCCTGAATCTAGCTAATGTGCCTAATTATTGTTAAAAGTAACTCATGCTATTAGCAACCAGTGAATTTTACAAGCTAATTATTATTTACTTAAGTTTTAATTTTCCAGCTGATACTTGAAATAATGTAGGTCAGGTTTCTACCCCTCATAACTACCAAAAAGCACAGCAACCCTGTCCTCTTTTACATTGACTCACCAGGATGAGGACCAGGCCTGACCCATGACATTTTGCTTCTTGGGGCAAAGGACAAGCTGGCATTTCCACCGCCCTCCATTTTACCAGAGTTGACTGGGCTGGCCGTAGACTCTTACTGCAACACTGCAGGACCGTGTCTACCAAACACCATACCTGAGGGCATCAAGCCACGTGCAGAACAGGCCATGTGGCTGTCACAGCATTGCTCCACAACACCCTCCTGCCTGCCCCCAACACCTGTTGCTTGAGGCGAGGCAGGCAGCTGCCTCACTCCCCCTAAGGTTAGGGCCGGTTCTGATGAAGCTGGCTGATGAGAATGCCCCAGATCTGGAAAGGTACTTTGGGAAGGCTGGTGTTCTAGGCAGAACTCAAGGACTGTGTTCCTTCTTATACTATATGATGATCTGTGTGTCTCTGGTTGCATTGACTTGTCTCTCTTCACTTTAGGAGAGAATCTCCTTCTGGGTGGGCCTATCACGTCGAGGTTTTGCTGGTCTGGGCTTCGCTGTGGTGACTTATTTTATCTGGATCTACAAAGACCCAGCCAAACAGAACCAGGAGGTACTGCAAAGTCTACAGCAGACCCGGACAGAGATCCAGAGGCTTCTGCAAGAAACAGGTAGGGTGGTTTTAGGAGAGGGCTCTCTGGGAAATTAGCAACCAAGCCAAACAAATGCATATTCTTGCAAGTCAGCATGAAAGGGGGCTAAGTCCACAGAGCTGTATTGCTGATAGGCAAACACTCAGACCAGAGAAATACAATTGGTAGAGAGGGCTCTGTGTGATGTCATTTCCCCTCCTCTCCTGGAAAGGAAGAAGCATATAGTACTTCCTGTTCCTCTCTCTCTTATTTTGATCAACACTGGATGTGGACATGCCTCTGCTGGCTCCAGCATAAGGTGTATTCCTAAAGCTGGGTATACAGTAAATATAAGAATTTTGCCTGCATAGTTTTTATTGCTGCCTTTGCTGTGAGCCAATGCATGATCATAAAGTAAGTACAAGTTATTTCAAAACTTGCTTTACAAGTTCTTACCTGATTCTTTGCTAAGTGGGTTAAGAAGGGGGATGCCAGCTTCCTTTCATAGCTGGAGTTGCTCAAAACAAGGCATTACAGCCTAATTCCTATGCTTTCAATTTTGCTGCCAAGAATGGGATTTTGAAACCCACACATGTGGCTGCCTGGAGGGATAAATGGCAATGAATATATCCTCTCCTAGTCATTAAAATCCATCCCATAGGCCCTCCTATCAGCACTGAATTCCCTCGCATAAGACCTGGAGAGGGTATGTGAGGCTTTCCTTAACACAGGCATGTCCAAAGTCCGTTTCAGGGGCCTAATCTGGCCCGCCAGTCGGTTTAATCCGGCCCCTGTGGAAATAAAATATTTCCAGGGGTAAAATCCCCAAAAACCCTCAACAACTTCAACCCTAAAAAAAGCTGAACAATTTCAACCCCCCAAAAAGCTCAACAACCTTGGTTGGCCCACACGGCCCTTCATTTCATCAAATCTGGCCCTCTTTGAAAAAAGTTTGGACACCAGTGCCTTAGCACAGTGTTTCCCAACCTTTTTTGGGCAAAGGCACACTTGTTTCATGAAAAAAATCTCAAGGCACACCACCATTACAGCCCCGTGACGTCAGCGCGCAGCGTCACGCCGGGAGGGACGCACGAAAGTGTAAGTTTCAATTTTTCCCCTCCCCCTTGCCTTCCTTCTGTGCCAACCGCCAAAAAGCCAAGAAAAAAGCCAAGACTTTAGGGCAGCAGGTCGACACGGAAGAAGCTCCTACCTAAGGACAGGTGCGACGGCCGTGTCCTCTTCTGCCACACTTGGCAGCCCTGCCTCACGGTCGTGACTCCCACCCTGATTTCTCCCCGCAGGTCGAGCGGCACAGGCAGCCCAATGTGTCCAGCCCAGACACAAGCCCCGCTTCCCCACTCTAGATCCTGAATGCGACCAAGTGCTCTGGACTCCCGAGCAGGGTGGGAAAGAGGACTCGCATCTGGTAGCCTCCGGGCTCCTCGCCTGCTCGAGGGATGGCATTGCAGGCAAGCTGCCAGCCGTCGCCATCGCCGCCCCCTCATGCGAGTGGACCTGCCCGGAGTGGTGGGCCGGGGGAGGCTCGCTCTCTGTGGGGATGTGGCCCGCACGCGCGGCCCCGCTTCCTCCTGCCCAGGGCTGAGCTCCTTACCCGCGATCTCGGTCTCGCGCACGCGGATCCCACTTATTCTGAAGCTCGCACCACTAGCCGGGGCTCTCACACCGTGCCAGGGCGAGGCGGCGCGGCCCACTGACGTCATCGCGGCTCGCCGCCGCCCTCGACTTCCCTGTTCCCTCCCCTCCCTCGGGTCGCCGTGGTTACCGAGGACTGCAAGCTGCTCGGGCGAGCGTGGGGCATTAAGTGGGAGAAGGAAAATTAAAATTAAAACTCGCCTGAAGGCCGCCTCTCCGGATACAGTGGTGCCTCGCAAGACGAAATTAATTCGTTCCGCAAGTCTCTTCGTCTTGCGAGTTTTTCGTCTTGCGATGCACGGTTTCCCATAGGAATGCATTGAAAATCAATTAATGCGTTCCTAGGGAAACCGCCTTCAGACCAGGTCCGGGGACAGTCTGTCCCCCGACCTCTTCTGAAGGCTGGGGGGGGGGACAAGGGCTTTTCTTCCCACCCCCAGCATTTTAAAAAACCCCGGGACAGCGGAGGACTTCTCCGCTGTCCGGGGCAATCTTAAAATGCTGGCGGGCGGCATTTTAAAATCGCCCGGGACAGCGGAAGACTTCTCCGCTGTCCGGGGCGATTTAAAAGCCCCTGGGAAGGCAGGCAGGGGGGACAAAGATTTTCGCCCCCCGCCCGCCTTCAGAAGAGGTCCTGGACCTCTTCTGAAGGTGGGCGGGGGCGAAAGTCTTTGCTCCCCCCTGCCTGCCTTCCCGGGAGAGCGGAGAAAGGCAGCGCATTTCTCCGCTGTCCCGGATGGCTTTTGAAGGTACTTGACCTCTTCTGAAGGCGGGCGGGGGCGAAAGCCTTTGCTCCCCCCTGCCTGCCTTCCCGGGAGAGCGGAGAAAGGCAGCGCGTTTCTCCGCTGTCCGGACGGCTTTTGAAGGCAGGCTTTTGAAAACCGTCCGGGACAGCGGAGAAACGCAGCGCACCCTTGCCGCTGCCCCCCGACTTGGCTGGAAGGCTGGCGGGGGGAGAAGCCTGCTCCTCCCCATCGCCAGCCCCGCAAACTCGGGGGACAGCGGGAGAGGCGCAGCGCGCCCTTGCCGCTGCCCCCCGACTTGGCTGGAAGGCTGGCGGGGGGAGAAGCCTGCTCCTCCCCATCGCCAGCCCTGCAAACTCGGGGGACAGCGGGAGAGGCGCAGCGCGCCATCCCGCTGTCTCCCGACATGGTTTGGAGGCTGGCGGAGGGCTTCCTCCTCCCCCAGCCCCGCAAGCTCCCAGAGCGATGCCAAAGCTGGGTCCCGTTCTGGGGGAGGGGGAAGCTCGGGCTTCCCCCGCCCCAGCCCCACGCCTGGCGGTGGGGGAATAATTTTTTTCCCCCTTTATTCCCCCCCCCCCCGCCAATTTTTCCCGCGGCACACCAGGCAACGTCTGGCGGCACACTAGTGTGCCGCGGAACACCGGTTGGGAAACACTGCCTTAGCAGATGGGAGCTAAGAAAAGGGAAGAATCTGTTCCTGGGACCCCAGGCCAACCTGGCCTGACTCTGTTCCTCCTGTGTGTGCACTGATGTTCCCAGTGACTGATTCCTCCCCATCTCAAAGATTCTGGGTGCTCACATGATGAACATTTTTCCATTTTGAAAGGGAACCGTTGCAAATAGAAGATGTGGGGGTGGCTGGAGAACAGAGTGCTGCAGTTGCCTAGCAACCGTCACAGAGCACCCCCCCCATTTCCTATTCCCCCTTGCCTAGCAAAAGTGCTGATTCAGGGTCTCATGGTCCAGCAACAGCAAGGGTGCCTCTCTAGAAGCAACCAGGAAATGGGCTGTGAAGAAACTAGAGCAAGTCTGGGTGGATTATGTATGGGTTACCCTCTAGTAGCCTTTCCTAAACTCCAGGTTGCCTTCGGATCAGTTATAGAAGAAGAGTTTGGATTTGATATCCCACTTTATCACTACCCGAAGGAGTCTCAAAGCGGCTAACATTCTCCTTTCCCTTCCTCCCCCACAACAAACACTCTGTGAGGTGAGTGGGGCTGAGAGACTTCAGAGAAGTGTGACTAGCCCAAGGTCACCCAGCAGCTGCATGTGGAGGAGCGGGGAAGCGAACCGGCTTCACCAGATTACGAATCCACTGCTCTTAACCACTACACCACACTGTTGAGCCTCATTCTCCCCTTAGTGATGTAGCATATTTGACCCAGGAGCCTCTTGGCTTGCAGCTTCCTTCCACAGACCTTGTGTGGTATAGTGGTTAAGAGCAGTGGATTCGTAATCTGGTGAACCGGGTTCGCTTCCCCGCTCCTCCACATGCAGCTGCTGGGTGACCTTGGGCCAGTCACACTTCTCTGAAGTCTCTCAGCCTCACTCACCTCACAGAGTGTTTGTTGTGGGGCAGGAAGGGAAAGGAGAATGTTAGCCGCTTTGAGACTCCTTCGGGTAGTGATAAAGCGGGATATCAAATCCAAACTCTTCCAAACTCTTGGAGGTTTTCTGCTCAGCTTGTGTGTGATCTCTGCTTGCAGAAAGGCTACTGCCGAAACCAGAGCTCCTGCTTCTGGACTCCGAGGTCAATGCAGAGAACAAGGAATTCACTGACTCAGGATTCCCAAAGCTGCTGCCCTGCTCACAGCACAGAACTGCAACGGAAGTAAAGGAACACAGGGCTGACCAGAAGAAAAGTGAGTGACGTACAGTCATACCTTGGGTTACAGTTGCGTTTTTCGGGTTACAGACGCACCAAAACCCAGAAATACCAGAACAGGTTACTTCTGGGTTTCGGTGGTCGCACATGCGCAGAAGCGCTAAATCACGCTTTGCGCATGCGCAGAAGCGCCAATTTGCATACTGCATGTGCACAGATGCGGCACTGCGGGTTGCGAACACTGCGAGTTGCAAATGTGCCTCCCGCACAGATCACGTTCGCAACCCGAGCGTCCACTGTATTAGGAAGGAACTGGAAGGTAGCAGGTGGAGGGCTGGTGTACCGGGGCAGGGGGGAGGCTGAAGCCCTGGTCTCGAAGCTGAAAAACTTTCTTAAAAATTCCAACATCCCAGTGAGGCTCACTGGCTGGTCTTGAGCCAAATTCTCTTTTTCTCTCTCAGCCTAACCTACCTTGTAGGAGGTTGAAGCACCATTTGGGAGACAGAGCAGACCACAAACACAATTGCATTGAAAGCTGTCTCTCACTGCTGCTGTGCTTCCGAGGTGGGGAACCTAGGGGTCTCCAGGTGCTGCGGTACTCCAGCTCCCATCGGCCATGCTGCCTGGGGCTACTGGAAATTGGAGTCCAGCAACATCCAGAGGGCCCCAGGTTAATGTAATGCTGCCCCTGACGAATGAAACCACCAGGAAAAGGGCCTTTTAATTAGTGGCCCCCAGTTATGGAACAGCTTTTCCAGAGAGAATTCGCCTAGTGCCATTCCCATGGTCTTTGCAGTACCAGGCAAAGACCTATCTGTTCAGCCAGACTGTTCCAATAACTCATGTCCTATCAATTTCTAAAATGTTGTACTTTAACTTTTGGTTTGTGGCAGGCTTTTGTTTTTCCCACCCTGCCGGCTAAAACAAGTTGGCTTTGACACGGCTTGCATCCACACTTGCCCCTTTCTATGGAATTGCTGTACGTTTGTTTGTTCGCTCTTGTGGAGCATCAAACTGTCCGTTCCAAAACATTGCATTCCAGCATTATCCCTGCTTTCCCTCTTGTGTTTTCTGTATCCTTGTCCTGGGCCCACCTGGCTCGTGGCATGTTCAAAAAGATCAGTTGCAGCACTCGCCTGTACTGTAGGGTTAGGGAACCTGTGGCCCTCCTGATGCCCTCCTGATGCCAAACTCCCAGCAGCACAAGACAACATTCCCAGTGTTCAGGGATGATGGGACTTGTGGTCCAACAGTAATTGGGGAGGGGACCAGGCTCCTTACCACTACTGTGCGGTATAGAACAGGGATGCCAGTGAAGTTCCCATCATCCTTGACCATGCTGGCTTGGACTGATGGAAGTTGGGAGTTCAATAACATCTGAACAGCATCATGACGGCCACCCCCAATGTCAACAGCAAAAATGTGGTTGAGGCTTTTCAGGGCTCCTGTGGCATCAAATAATTTCCTGCTTGCTGGGTCTGCCCTTTCCATTTATTCCTGTTGACTAGTACCCAGTAGGCAGGAAACTTATGTTGCAAAGGACCTTTGCTGAATGGGACTAGCTTCTTAGTAAGCACCATAACAGGTTCTTGGCCATAAAGAAGGATATTGCTGGGTAATATAGATCTGTCAAGAAGTGATCTGTGGATCTTCTGCTTTAATCCCACTTCTAGCTGATTCTAGAAAAAGTAGTGACTTGGCAATTCAAAAGGGATAGTAACTATAAGCCACCTGTGAGGATACGCTGAAACTGTCTTTGGGGTGAAGTTGCTTCTCTTGCCTAAATATCACTTCTGGAGCAACCAACAGTCTGCCATTTTTTCCCTTTCAGTGGAAGAAATGTGGACTAGCTGCCCCAAGCGGAGGGGGCGTTCTCCATCCCGCACTCGACGTTCTCCGTCCCGCACTCGACGCTCCCGGTCCCGCCAGCGCAGTCGGACTAGGAATGTCGCTGCCCAGCCGCTGGCAATCCCTGTACCTCTGGAGCAGGTGAGTTCACTGCATATGCTATGGATATGCACAGAAACCCAACAGCTGGGAACCAAATTTCCACTTTGGGTCTCTTGGAGGAAGTCTGCCCTATGGATTAGACTCGAGCAAAGGCGGGCAGGGAGAGAACAAGAAAGGATTAGCCTCCTGTTTCCAAGCACAGCACTAGGAATTGGTTTTCAAAGGATTTGCCCCTAACCCCTTTTACTTATTAATCAAAGCGGTAGCATTGGAACTCGGAACCCCTTTTTGATTCTATCAATTATTACTAATGTGAGTGGGTGTAATATGTGCGAGGGGACCTGAACCCAAAAAAGGGGGGGTAAAAGTAATAGTGGGTAGGAATCCAGTAGAATACAGGAGAGTGGAGCAATCCTCCCTCTTCCTGAAAAGCAAGATGAGCTTTTAACTCACCTTTGGCTGGACTTAACTGTCCAGGGCTCTTTGTCCTTTATAAACTCCCCAAAGCAGCAAGGCCAAAGACTGCACATGCAATGCTGTCAGGGAGCCCCAACGGCAGAATGGGTGTTAAGCCAGGCACCCCCAAACTCAGCCCTCCAGATGTTTTGGGACTACAACTCCCATCATCCCTAGCTAACAGGACCAGTGGTCAGGGATGATGGGACTTGTAGTCCCAAACATCTGGAGGGCCGAATTTGGGAATGCTTGTGTTAAGCTGAAGCGGCAAAGAATTGGGCTCCCAAGACACAAGGAGAACACGCAGAATTCTATCAGGGAGATTAGTTTGGGAGGGCAAACTTCCCCCGACCCCAATTCCTCCTTTCATCTATAATTTTTTTGATGTGTCAATTTATTCAATTAAGGAAAACAGGAACAAGACTGAATCTTGTGTGTTCTTTTGCAAATCTGAGCTGACAGTTCAAAGCTCCTGTCCCAGTTATAGCATGGGAATAGGTGAGCCCTTCAGTCCAGCAGGACTCATCTTCCGTTAGCTTGCATAGCTTCTCTCTCTCACTTAGTATAATGATGCAGTGCTTTGCATAATTTAGATTTTCTAGGAAGGGTGAGGGGAAGGAGATGTACAAGGTTGAAATCTCCCTCCCTCCATGGAAACCTTAACTCAACACACACACACACACACACACACACACACACACACACACACGGTGTGTATATATTTCAAGCCACAGGGACTTAGGAACCATAGGGTGAAAAGGACTTTTTGTGTATTTTTGTGGAATGGTGACATGAGACCAGGTCCAGCTGCATGCTGTCTGTCATCACAGTGCGGAATGCAGTGTTTTGTTGCAAACAGACCTTTCATGGCTAAAATGTTAAGTCTTAGGGTTTCGAATTATGCATGCCAATGCAATAATTTTGCATTGGTAGCCAATGCAAAAACAAAACAAAACCACCTTCTTGTAAACTTAATTGATTCATTGAACAGTTTAAACTTATTGAGAGAAGATGACTTTTAAAAATGTTGACACAGTACTGCATTGCTGCAGTCGTACTGCAGACGGTGGTATAGCTTCTAACTTGGGAGTCCAGCGCAATTCTGAGAAACAAAGTTCTTGTGGCATCAGTTCAAAATAGAACTTCTGCACCTTGTGGGTACAGAGATCCTTAAACATTTGGGGCAGGGACCCAAATATGATCAGGCTTCAATCTAGTGTGTGGCTGTGGTAATTAAACAGCAGAGGAAGCAATCCTGGAATCTCAGGCATGTTTTCAGTATTCTTTTAGCATATCTCTGCTATGTGTAATTTGACTTTCGGATGCTGCTCACAATGCACTGGAAGTAATGTAGTTTTCTAGCTTCCAAAATCCTGTTTTATGTCTTATAATGGTTCAAAAAGCAGGACCACAAAACCAAAGGTGCTCAGAAGGGCACTTTAAGCCAAATTTCTCACTTGTTGCAGCCTCTGCAGTGCAGCCTTCGGAGCCAGAGATCCTTGGAAGTGCCTCGCCCTCCAATCCATCATTAAAAGCTGGGCTTGCGAATGAGAAGACTCCAGGGATAGACCTATGCGGCTGAAGGGGAGATTTCTCTTATGGCTTCCAGCTCTGGACCTTAGCAGCCTCAGTTCCAGCCAGAGTGGGAATATTTTGGAAAGGAAAAGTACTTTAGGGTGTGTTTTGGTGAAATTCCACGCCTTAAATTGGGACAATGATGAGAGCAAGAAGGAATTTTGCTGGACCTTAGCATATGACTCCTCTCCGTAAGATCCTGAGCTACCTGCAGCAGGCAGTGACATTACACTCTAGGGTCCAGAAGTGCCCCCCCTTTTATTTAACCCAGCTAATCTTAATTTGTATCTGTTTGAGGGAAAGAACTGAAAGCAAGACCAGTTCCACTCTTAATATAGAAGAAATGTCATTTCCCCGCTGCCATCCCCATCTCAGTGGAGCTTTGGCAAGTAACCTGGACATGTGCCTTGAGTCACCTTCTCAGGCCTGCCCCTTTAAGAGAGACACTTTCCCAGCTGCAAGCAAAGAGATGCAGTAGCCGACGATATGGACCAGAGTTAGTCTTCGCTATGCCTTGAAAGTTAGTCTGCTGCAGCATATATAAAGCTGAGGAAAGGGTCATTTAGAGACATGATTTATTTATTCACGCTTTCAAATTTTTAACCTGTTAATAAATAGTTTCTTACAGAAACAACTCTGCATTTTGCATAGGCTTCAGGCTGTCGATTCCCACAATGTTACGTGAGTATCGTAGGAGGCAAGGGATTTCTCCTCCTGCCCAGTGTGGCAGGCCACAGATAGCAGCCTTTCTGAGGTAGGTAAACAAATTCCCTGCGACCGTCCTCTTCTCCTGCACAATGCAGCTCTCCCTCTCCTAGTCATCTGACAAGCTGAAATTCATGGCTGACGTCAACGTTGCAGAGAGCTTGGTGGCGATCTTCTCTGCAGAAGAAGAGAAGATAAAAAGGGGTTAGATGTCTGAATGGCATCCTGGAAACCTCTTGTCTCTTTTCTAAAATGTGCTGCTGCAAGCAAAGGAGGAGGAGATGCAGCTGGCTGGCCATTTTAGGTTTGCAGGGAAGAAGCCTAATCAGATTCAGGCAGCCGCTATTAATGGAACAAACTGATGGGGAAGGACAGTCTTGTCCCCTCGGCATTTGAAGAGAGGGAGGAAAGGTGAATGATGTACATGCAAATGTGTCATCCTTTCTCCTGGCTGTGAAGGAGAAGATTAGATGACAGTAAAAATCATACAGGGAGGAATTAAACGTTGTGCTTTTCTGATCGTTTTGGCTGGCCAGATGAAACAATATGCCTCCACATACTGTTTTGGGATGGGACGCGGGTGGGGCTGTGGGTTAAACCACAGAGCCCAGGACTTGCTGATCAGAAGGTCGGCGGTTTGAATCCTGCGACGGGGTGAGCTCCCGTTACTCAGTCCCTGCTCCTGCCCACCTAGCAGTTCGAAAGCATGTCAAAGTGCAAGTAGATAAATAGGTACCGTTCCAGCAGGAAGGTAAACGGTGTTTCCGTGCGCTGCTCTGGTTCGCCAGAAGCGGCTTAGTCATGCTGGCCACATGACCCGGAAGCTGTACGCTGGCTCCCTTGGCCAATAAAGCGAGATGAGCGCTGCAACCCCAGAGTCGGCCATGACTGGACCTAATGGTCAGGGGTCCCTTTACCTTTTTTACTGTTTTGGGGGTCCTTCCAAACCCCATGAACGAACGGTGGGAGGATTTGCGGGAGAGTCCTGCTGTGCAAGCAGAAATCCTTGCACATCGTTTCCACGGATGGGACATATTAACTGATTCCCATGTATGGACTGAAGGGTATCATGGGAAGGGTGCCTGAGGCCTGGGAACTACTGAAAAGGAACAGTGGAGGCTCTGCCGTAGAAATGTTGTGTTGTGGGACATTCATGGGCTTCTCCTGGAACCCCATCCAGGAAGAAGCTACAGAGGGCATGGCTCTGTCCCCGTCCACTGGGGATGGGGGTTCCAAATGGGGGGTCTTGAATTTTATTTTTTCACTATTCCCACCCCCACTAGAAATAAAAGGAATATGACCAAATGACAGCTCTTGAATCTTTCCAGGAGGACAGCCTTGCTTGCTCCTTAATTTACTCGAAGGGTGATTCCCAGGAAGTAACTGAGAAAAAAACCATTTTGCAGCTATTCAGCAAGGCACCTGCTCCCACCCTGGGCCCCCTTCTTTACCTGCTCGTTTCTGCTGTTTCTTGCGCCTCTTGCTTGCAGCTTTCAGGCCTTGCCCCTGGTGCAGAGGGTCCAAGGCGGAGATCTCTGCTAGGTTAGGAGCCCTTGGCACAGACTTCTCTGCTTCCACTAGGGTCTTGCTCTTGGCTTTCAGCTCTACAGTCATTGCGCCAAACTAGGGAGGGCAAAAGGAAGATCTCCTTCATCTTAACCTTCATTCTCTAGCATGTATAAAACAAGGAAGATTCCAGCCTCTAGCAGTTGGCTTAAGTTCTTGAGGCTGCTGGGTTGGAATTAGTTGCAATGCCTAAACTCAAGTTAGAGCCCAGTCACCGTCATACTGCCATGGCCCAGTTACTGCAGCCACAACTGCACTATAAATATTTAAGAACAAAAAACACTCGTTGGAATACTCTTAAAGTAGCCGTATCCTGGGTGCTATGACTGGGACTGCGCGTGCTGTGCAATTCCAAAGAAGCACAGTGTGCAGAAATCTGATCTGAACTTTCATTTTAAAAAGAGAAAGCAAGTTTCTAGCCCTGTTGGTTGCAAAAAAAAATGTTGAAAAGAAGTGGCAGCATATAAGCAACTAAGAGATTATGAAATAAGATTGCTTGAAGTCAACAACTTCGGGGCCTTAACATCCCATAAAATTACAGATCAGATTGGGCAAACAGCACGGAGTGACCCAATTTATAGAGGTTGGAGATCCCACATTTTCTTCATGCAGAATTGTGACATTTCAGTACATACAGCCGTGGCTACAAGTATTTATTTGGAGAGCTGGCACTGAACTTGATGGATAGCCCATCCAATTTTACCCAGATCTTTGAGCTAGTTAGTGCAAAATGGGAGCCATTCAGATCAAAGATCATACATGTGCTTATGATCACGACATATGTCTCACTGTGGATCCAGGGCTAAAGGTACATGAAAGCTTATCATTTGCCAAATGAAGATGGGCAAGACTGAGCTTTAGACACGACCACCCAGAGTTTTTCACCACCTCCCTGCTCAAAGTCCAGCATGCATTCACCCTAAACCGACATTGCCTCTCTGTTTCAATCCATAGCTGGCAAGGGACTGTTCCTGTTGACATGACATATATTTCATCTTGTACTGTGCTTTTTGGAACATTACTCTGGGAGTTAAATAAAAGGAATCTTGTCTTTTAGGCAGCAGAGAGTTCTCATTCTCTTCCTTTCTCATTCTGGCATTAGCTGCCAGTGCTGTTCCTAATTTGTATGAGGAAGGAGTCTCTCTTTCTCTCTCATTCCAGGCACCTCCGTCTTCCAGTTTGCCCCTCTGTTTCTAGCCAAAAACCAAACAGACCTTGAGTGTTTTCTATGCTGTGGCATCGCAAGAAGGTAAAACCACAAGCCTGTGGATTTGGCTATCTGACAGTCACAAGGTTCCTGACAAAACCTGGCCAAGGGGTGGGGGTGGGGAGAGAGGAAACGGCCTACAAAAACTTTTTGTGGCTGCAGGACATCAAGGGAGGAAAAACCCAGCAGCTCCCATCAAGCCCCTTTTCTCACTCCACACCACTTCTGCGCTCTTCTAATGGCTACTTCAAATATCAGACACACAATTCTGAATTCACCAAAGTGTTCTTTTTACACATCACGTTAGTTCAAAATTTAAAATAAACCACAAAGGGAATTCTTAAAAACCTGCGAATTGTGGGGGGAAGTTTCAAATATTCCACAACATGATACTGACAACTCTGTGTCAGAACATTTGTTTTGCATGCAGAACGTCCCAGGTTCAGTCCCTGGGATCTCCAGGGAGGGCTGAGAGAGACCTCCGTCTGACTGGAAAAGGGAATGTTTTACATTATTCTTGTTTATAAAACCCAATAAAAGAAGAAGAAAAAGATAATAATTCCTGTATAGGAGAAAAATAAATGCCATTCTGACAGGAATGGCACACAAAAAAGAAAAGGGAATGCTTTTCGCTCCCTGGGTCAAATTCTTATCAGGGTCAGCCTTGTGGGCCAAATTTAACAGGTGAGCAAGGCTGTCCACCTATCACATGATATTGTGGGGTTCCTGCAGCAGAGGGGGGGGCCCAGGATGACAAAGGGGAATCTTTTGCCCTTTTACTGCCCACCCCAGCTGGGAAGAGAGAGAAGGAAGCAAGAGAAGCTTCCTGCTACTGTAAATATCTTTCTCCCCTTAGGTCCTTTCCTACAACCACCACCCTCTGCTAAGCAAGAAAAGGAATCCTGCATTTTCTCTCATTTCCTATTGCAACAGCAATCCTCCCTGTGTTTTTCTATTCCACCTCCATTGTTGGAGGTGTAAAGGAGGAGCGCGGGAAGGCTTGCAAAGGGCTCTGAAATTTACAAAAAGCAGCCCTGGCAGGGAGAAGTGGACTCTATGGCAGCCTCAGTTTTCATCAGCTGTTTAGGACACACCTTGTTCTAGCAATCAAGCTCTCAATCTGAAGCCCTACCCTTACCCACCCTTGACATCAGGTGTGTCTTCCCCAAAACAACCCATGGGCTACAGCAGGCACCCCCAAACTTGGCCCTCCAGATGTTTTTGGGACTACAATTCCCATCATCCCTGACCACTGGTCCTGTTAGCTACGGATGATGGGAGTTGTAGTCCCGAAACATCTGGAGGGCTGAGTTTGGGGGTGCCTGGGATAGAGGTTCCCCATGCCTGTTGTAGGCAAGACTGACTTAGATCAGTGGCCTGACTCAGGATAAAGTAGCTTCCTAGGTTCCTAAAACAGCGCCATGACAAGCCAAAGCCCACTGCAGCCAGGATCTTGAAGTTGGATGTCACAAATGGATTGGACACAGAGGAGTGGTAGAAGGAACCAGCTTGGGAAACTCCAAGGGAAGAAGGCTCAGAGCCCAGGGATTGGTGGTGGGATGGAGAAGAGGGGTCAGAGGGAGAAGACTTGGAGGAGGAGGTGGCAGCAGCTGATGAGGTAACAGGGCTTAGTGAGCTGGGAGAGTCTGTGGCAGAGAGAAGTGCAGAATCGGAAGCTGAAACGGGAGAGGAGGGAGGCCAAGAGGCAGAGATGAATCTGGCTGGTGAAGAGCCATAGGTGTCTCCCCCTCCTCCTGCCCCCTCTCCCCATATCTCCCAGAACCAGGAAAAGCAGGAAGAGGGCGGAAGAGAAGTTAGCTTCACACAAGCAGTCTCTGATTGCTTGGGGAAAGCCCTGGTAAGGAGGGGGACTTAAGTAGCTGGGGGGGGGGGACCTTCAGTCTCAACAACGGCTTTGTGGGGGCAAGACCTCCTGGGAATGAATTGCTATTCACTATGGAGCTGACACTCTGATGCAGATCTTGTTTTTGCTAATAAAAGGCTAACTTGCTCAGTGTGAATTACTAGAGGCTTTTTTTTAAAAAAAAATTGCTTTTCTGTTTCATCATTTCATCAATGCGTAGTATGTTGCAGACGAATGCATGGTAATAAGACAAGAGAAGAAGAAATAATTTAACATAAATATAAGACATATATCTGTAAATTCCTTTAAATTAACTCTTATGAGTCTGTGATTTACTGCAGGCTTGCTCCTGCCACTGGGTCGTGTTTATGTTCATGCCTACCTCCTCACTCCCAGCTTCCTCCATCTTAAC